GTGACCAATGAAAAGCTACCCGTTACCAAATTACAGCAGGATCTCTGCTCCCCCCAGCTGGTGTAAGTAGGACTGGCTGTCATCCGCTGTGCAGACCAGCCCCTGCTTCTCCCCGCCTACGATTCACACCAGCCGAAAAACTTCAGCGACAAAGGAAATGATGCAGAGGTGGGCATGGGGGAGGGGGGGGGGGGGGGCTGTGAGAACTGCATCCTTGTCAGGTTTAGTTCCGCATGAATGAATCAAAGCTAACTGGCTTCTACACAGTAATTAATCGATCGTCTGCTAAGAGTCTGGCAAGGGCCTGAACGCCCGCAGGAAATCCATTGAGTGCAGCGCTGGAATGACCAAAGCTACACAGCACCAGTGCCATGTCAATATGCCCTCATCAAGCACTCTTTATGTTCTGCCCATGGCTGGCATTTTCAGGAGCATCGGTCCTCTAGACCACACAAATGTGATAAGGCATGCTGACCTGTACAGGCTGTATGAAGGTCTTGCATGTGGCATCACAAAGAGCTCCATCTACTCAGGAGGGACACCGGTGGTGTCAGTGAATGGCAGCAGTATCTGTGTGCCCAGGGAGGGTACATCCCATCTGTGCACATTAAAGCATGACTTTTTCTTGTAAATGGAGAAAAAATGTATAAGTGCAGACCGACCATTTCATGGGATTGAAAAGACATGCCCTCAAGGTGGGACAGCCCGCAGGGTTTACTCATCTGTGCCAAATTACACCGCGTGGAAAACTTGACAAGCCTCAAACTTAAAATAGCCAGCATCCAAATTAATAAATAATCCTGCTCTAAATGGGCCGGCTGTGCCTGTGCCGCCACACAATGTCGGCAGCTAACGTCTGAGTGTCAGCTTACAAGCGCAGCTTTGTTCAGATAACTTTTGATTATGAACCAATCGTGATGCTTGCACCTCAGTTATTAACTTAATAGATGCTGCAGGGTGGATAACCCTGACTTCTCTTTCAAGTTCATTTTGTTATCTTCTGCAGACCAATATGCCTATTGGTGATTAAACTCTTTCTAGGAAGGCGGCAGCTGGATTGCCCACGGGAGCAGTTTCTGGCCAACTTTCTAGCTGAGGTGTGTGTGGGGGGGGGAGCTGTGCATACTAAATCTTGCCACAGAAAGCTTAGTGGAGACAGAAACAGAACAAGAGACACAGATACAGTTTCTAAACACTTTCAGTCCACACACAACCTGGTATGGACAGATAAATGTAGGCACATGGATGCCCTCCAAGCAGAAACACAGAGGCAGAGGTCAACACAAAATTTATACTGACATAAAGATGCATATATATGGTAAACTGAGGGTTAATAACTCAAAAATGACACACACACACACACACACACACACGCATGCACGCACGCACGTGACCATAGCCCATGTATTCATATCTCTATGGGGACTCTCCATTAATTTGTATGGGCATAATCCCAACTCTGACAATATTAACCCCCATCCAGCCCTAGTCTTCACCATAAGTAACCAAATAAAATACGAGACTTTTTGTATTTTTAGTTTTTGATTGCAGTAACAGATTTTTTATAAAATTGAGGTTATCCTTGTGGGGACCAATGTTAAAAGTTATAGGTATTTATCACATTGTGGGGAAATTTGGTCCCCACAATGTAATAATTATAAGCACACACACACACACACTTAAAATCTGTAAGGGAGACCCCCAGTGAGTGCAAACAAGGAAAACGGAGACATTTAGATGCCACTACTTGAAGCCATTTGTGGTATTCTTGTAAAACTGGGGATTACCACAATGCAACAACAGCAAGGGGACTGATGCATGCATAATAATGGTTATGTCCTGACATCTGGCAATCAATGAATCTAATTAAATAAAATGGAAGTTTCAATTCAACTTTTAACATAGTGCTTTTATATAATAAGCGTTTAGTCAAATATTGCAACATATACAGATCTCTAAATTTTCACCATTGTTTTATAATTGACTTTTGCAATAAACATTATTTATAATTTTAAACCTTTAGGGTTATTATACTCAGTACCAAACACTCCCTAGCAGCACTCTACTAACATGCAGCATAACTTAAGCAAAGGTGCAGGGTGGGGAGTGAGTGGGTCAAAGATCAAAGGTCATTTGGGGTTTGCAATTTGGGACAGGTCCAGCACATGGAGTACAGATGATCTGCATAACACTCTCCAGCACTTCAGGACTGACACTGCAGGGGCAGTAAATAATATCAAACAAAACCATTACCGTCATTACCTCCCTTCACCCTAAAATGCCCACAAATTTGGGCAACAGGTCATCAGCTTTTTGTCATGTTTGGTAATGTTGGTTTGTTTCAGACTAACTGCGCGCCAAAGCTGGAGTTTTTCATTTCCCGTCTCTGAGCAAACAGCAGAGGCAGTGGTGCAAAACATAATGGCAGCCTCTCATTACCTCCAGCACAATTATCCTGGATCAAGGCTGTTATCTAATCTCAAGCAGCCACCATATTAACAACATGTTCCTGGAGGCAAAGTGTCCCTCCTTACCAAAGGCAACTCAGAGGACATAGAAGCAGGTTAGGGGGTGTACAGAGTAAGGACGGTAGGGGATCTAGGGAGATGACTGGGAACCAGAGATAAGAGAAGCAGGAGGCCACACTGGAGCAGCAGTGTGTGCAAGACGCCTCGAACCAGCAATGCAACGGCTTGGGACTTCCACCCGCTTTCTTACTTATTTCCGCGCAAATAATAATAATTGATACTTTACTGATCCCCATGGGGAAATCCTCTTTTTACACCTCACTCAACTTGCTCTTTGTAGTTGTCCACAAAGGGCTGCCACCTGCAGCTGCGTTTGAACCGGTGACCTTCTGATTACAAGCACACAGGCTTAGCCCACTGAGCCACACAATGCCCCAAATAATATTGGGAGGAAGCCAGCTGAGTCTCAGGCAGGTCGCAGGTGCTTCACTACATCAAATATGGTTACATTTGTGGCCCAGGACTGTGGAAACCCAGCCTAAGTTAGACTAATTATAGCTTGCCACTGCTGAAAACATGTACTTAGATATTGCCTGCACCCCCAGGAAACTTTTCACTAAACCAAAACAGGCTAATGGCTCTTGAGGTGTCGTTCTGGCTCCCACGGGGCTCCGCGCGACGTAGCAGTGACTCGCCCTTGTTTGCTTTTCCCTCCACCAGAGAACTTTAATGGTACAACAGAGACAGCCTTTACTCCAAGAACAGCAACACCCTGAATGAGGAGACAAAACATCCCGCACTGGCACCAAAGGCTCTACTCAGATAATGTGATGAAAAAACAATGGTTTGTGAAGAAACCTATCAGCAAAAGATACTAGTGTGGCTTTAAATTCACCTCAGGTAATTCACAAAGGTTATTTGAGTTATATAGCTCACATGACTGAGCAGGACAATATGACTTTAAAAAAATATTGTAGCATAAAATAAATAAAATTATAGCCATCTTGAGCCAAGGGTCAAGACTGGGTTTTAGGTATTTCCCATCTGTTTTGTAGATTTAATCCGTGGAGCAGTGAAAGTGAACCCGGAGTTAGACAAATCAAACTGGGTCTGTAACAGAAGAACCAGCACATCGCGACCCCACTTTGTAATTGGGTACAACGGGCAGGGCTGTACACGTTTCTGGGCTTGTAGTATCAGATCACAAAAGCACTACCTCACAGAATAGATGCAGACGTGAGGAGGGAGTTGCCCGCTTCCCCAAACTACCCGGCTATGCGGAAGAGGGAATTAGACTTTCCTGTCAAAGCCGCCAACTAATGAGAATTCACAACATAGGCGGCAACGGGATGTTCACGGTGAAGTAATATCCTTCAATGGAGAATGACCGCAGGAATCTGCCTGCGGGGCGTCACTTGTCACACGACACAGGTGCCAGATCGGGAGCCGGAGGCGTTTTTAGCTGTTTAGCTGTTTGACATCGCAGAAACCACAAGAATGGGCAAGTGTCGAAAAACGCCAGCCATGGGTTCACTCTCTACGTACATACAGTACGACAGTAGTGACTTGAAGTTGCATTATAAAGACATCAGGCTACAAGCCGTAAAGGTGCTGCACCCGCAGGCAAACGTCTAGCAGCCTAGAGCGAACTGAAGTATCCCAACTTAATTCGTTCACGTATTAAACGCCTGATACATCGCACAAACTTCTTTACATTAGCCATTGCTACGAATTATGTGACCTAAGAATTGAATTTTCTTAAAATCTGTTAAAACAGGGAAAAGGGACGAAAGGGAGGAACACCAGTCTGAAGAGCTCCCGACACAGTCCACGCAAGTGGCTTATTCGCATGAAACGCGTAGGGAGCTAAAGCTGTCAAGCTCTGTACACTTTTCGTAAAGAAAGAAGAAAACATCGTTTGGGACGTAAGGGGGGTAATACGCCACTCCACCACACTTGCTACGCCCAATTTGTTAATCCCCCAGACGTGTGTCAAAAGGCTGGGTGGCTGCTTTGCATTAACACACACACGCACACCCACAGCCCCCATTCGCCGTACACCTGGCAGTGGAGAAGTTTCCAACTGTTCCTATTACTGCAGGCAACATCTGCATACAGTAATCGCTTGACATAACTTCCCACTGGTCCGCTATTTCTCCTTCCAGTAATTTTTTTCCCGAATACTAAATCATCGGTTCTTTCGCCAGCTCGCTGCCAGTTAAGCTTTCCGTAGACTTATAAAGGCGCCGAGATCTCCTTAACGTTCCTGTTTCATCCAGCAACCCCACGCTTCAGCTCCCAAGTCAGTCGGATTTGAAGATAAGGCCTTAGCAGCTAAGAAGAGCGTCAAGTTAAACGCGAACCCTATGACACGAGGTGTCCTCCCACTACGCGCATCACAACGCGAAACATGTAATATTCACAGAGAAGACACTTAAACACTAACTAACGTTTAAATTAAATATTCCTACTTTTTCTTTCCCATGCAGAGAGTTTCATTATAGCAAAAACAAACTTTTTGAACAGACTTACGCCGTCTCGCAGCGACCGACGAAGCCTTTCGAAGCCTTTCGATGCGTTTCTCCTTTCTCTCTCTCTCTCTCTCTCTCTCTCTCTCTCTCTCTCTCTCTCTCTCTTTCACCTCCCTTCGTCCTCTCCCTCTCTCGCCTCGCGAGTCTGCCGCCTGTTTGAGGAAGTACCGCTTGCTCTCAAGCTCGTGGGCGCACTGGACTCGTGACGTCGACCAGGTGCATGGATACACACTCACACAGCCGAACACGCGTACATAGGCGCGGCGACTGTGCGGTAGTCCCGGTGATACCCGTCTCGGTCACGTCAGTATTTTAAAATTAACTTTACATGAACAGTTAGAAATAAATAGATAGATATAAGAAAAACAGAAATAAAAAGATAGAGACGCACCGTCAAAAGTGGATTACTTCCTCCTGTCTGCTGTTTTCGCTTTTTCTTATCGTTCTTATTCACCATAGTCCAACATTATACCTGCTTTTGGTGTTAAGCGTTTTTGTATTCGATTACAATTATTTCCTCGGTTTTCCCCTTCTTAACAAACTTTGAGAACGTTTTTTTATTTGTCCGGTTTCACTAAAGAGGAGTATTTACAATATCCTGATTGCCACTCAGGCAATATGTCGCAATAGCAAATGTGTCAAAACAAACCACATAACAATACAAAAAAAGTCGCATTTAAAGGTAAAACGGGTATTCCAGTGAAGAGGAAACGCGCTGTGACGTTCTCTAAAATGTTCCCATATTCTGCTTATTGCACTGAAGCTATCGTTTTCTGATCTGCAATCCTAGTGAAGGTTATACTTGTCTGGCCTTACTGGCAAACCGCAATGCTCACTGTTGTCCTAGATTTACTATGCGGCAGTGCAGATTAATGCTACTGAAAGTAGCCGCAGTATGTAGCAATGTTAAGGCATTTTGGTACTTATTGATCGAATGAGATACATTATTTTTGGTGGTAATATCCGTTACTATTTGTACTTCCTTTTTTTAGTGTTATGCGTCATGCATGTTCTCTACAGTCTCATCGTTGTAAAATTGTTCAAAACTGTTGTTTAGTTGACAGCAAATTTGTTGCTTCTGACTGAGTAGACAAAAAATGCATCTATTTGACAAGAATAATAGATGCATGAACACTTGTCCCCTGAAAAGACCCCCACATCCCCTGTAAGAGCAGAGATTGCTTGACTTGTTGGTTGACTTATCTCTTTCTTAATGACTCTCCTAATGACATTGCAGCCAATACCCTCTGAAGTAAAAACCCTTGAAATCTTTTCTGTATTGATGCTTTGCTGGAAACCTGCAGGTTCAAGCACGTTACCTGTTGGTTGAAGCCCACCCGTGGTCTCACTTATATAAATAGACCAAAAACAGCATATTTAGCACTCTACAGCTCAGTACATAAAGGCTCAGCACATAAAGCCATCAAACTGGCCATTTGAGGAGCACTTCTTCACAAGGATTGTGATAACAGTGATGTTCACTTCCTGCCCCTATCAGCTCTCCATGTAATGCTTATCTATGTACTGTGGGCTTCCTTTCTCATCTATTCCTCTGCCTTCTCTCATATAAACTGCACTTTATGCACAAAGAACTCTTAGCTACATGAATGCATTACAGAGTAGACACGGGTAGTATCACACAGCAGGTGTCTTCCATATTACTTAACACTCAATAAATTATCTGGGAGAGACTTATTTAAAAAAAAAATAATTCAAGAATAACAACATAATGTCAGGGTCAGCACCAGTTTTGTCCTAATCTTGCGTCTTCTCCCCGTTTGGCCAGCAGGTATTGCTGGCCATCCTGTCTTCCCCCGTTGTCCTAGTCTGTAGTGTTTCCCTAGTTCCCTGTTGGCCACATGGCTCAAGGAGCTGAGCATGCAGCTACCTGTTAACTTCTCTGTGTGGTTGAATCCCACATCCTCTGTTTTTGTATTTTGTTCCCTAGTGTTTCATTTGTGTGAGCTTTTTTGTTCCTGTGTCTTGTGATTTGTATTTGGTTTTGGTTTCATGCTTTGTGCGCGTGCTCGTGTTTTTCCCTGTCTGTTATTCCCTATAGTGTAGATTTGGTTTCTTAGTTTCTTTGTTAATTTGAGTTTCCTGAGTTTAATTATTAGTTTCAGCTGTTGCCTGTTCTTGTTCCGGCCCTTGTGTTTTTACCTGATTGGTGGTTGCCCTGCACTTTCCTGGATTGGTTAATTGTCTATGTCTCATTCCTGTTGTGTCGTTACCCGGTTTAGTTTTTGTATTTAAGTTCCTGATCCTGTTCTGTTCTTCCTGGAGTCATTGATGTTTGTTGCATGTTAGTGATGTTTGAATGTTCTGTTACCCGCTACCCGCCACCCGCCTGCCCACCCCTTGTTTCCCTGCCCCATTTGTAATTAGTCTTTGTTTATTCTCTTTTGGTTTTGACCCCTGACGGCCCGTTTATTTTGTGTTTCTTGTGTTTTTCGTTAAACCCCTGTGTTCCTGTGAGCTGCCATTGGGTCGTCCACATTCTCTTCCCCGCCTGCACGATACCTCGCCCTCACGCTAAATCCATCCGAGTCCATGACACATCACCGATGACTGATATTCTATCTGAATTTTGAGAATGTATAATAAAAAAAGGAGTGGTAGTGTAATGCTTATGGAAGTGCATTTGCAATTGAAAGGTTGCTGGTTTGGATTCCTGAGCAGCAAAGTACCACTGTAGTAACCTACTGAAGGTACCGGGCCATACATTGCTCTTCAGGTGTAAAATTAGCTGCCTCTTGTTATGTCACATGTGGGTTAAATGCAGAGGACTAATTTCATTGTTGTGTGCTGTGGCATGTCAACAATGTCAATGACTAATGATCACCAGTAATGAAACAATCTGTAGATTAGTCAACTCTTAACATAAAACATCAGGAGGATGGATCCTCTCAGTGAGAGAGAAAAAACTGTTTCACTATTTGTTCCACTGGTACTCTGACAGAGGCAGTAAACAGCACACTTATGGCAACATACCAAATCTTTCTTTTTTATACTCAACAGACAACCATCATAACACTCAGAAGGCTGTAAAAACACCAGTGACACCAGCGTTTCCTTGCTTTTCCTTTTTTTTTATTAATGTACAAATGTGTTTGCATAAGTATGTATTTGTACGTGTATATTTCCATTCTTGTGTTTCTGAGGTCAAGGAAGGTGTGAGAAGGAAGAATAACACATTTTACATGAATCGTATGCATTGGATCAAGGCCTTTTGGTTCCAGGAAACCTGCTTATCAGCCAGGCTTCCTGCCCCACCACGTCTTCTGCACTTGACCATTTTGGGCTTATATATATATGTTGCATTCTTGTACAAACAAAACCTGTTCATGATTTATGATGTTACTAGAAGCTTATTTGATTTGATTAAATTAAAATTACTGCTTAAATAATGATGCATTCCATTCAGAAATGTATTTCCTCTAGTAACATTATCTTGCCACTGTGTTTGTTGAGCCATTGCCAATAGGATAAAAGCATTGTTAAGCAAAATAATAACTTCCAAAGTCCAAGACAATATCAGAGGAGCTTAAGGATATCTGTATCATAATAAACAGTGATGCTTTACGTTAACTGCACCTTCATGATGCCTTTACAATGCATTTGTAGAACATTCAGTGCATGCAGTCATAATGCATTCATAATGCATTCATAGAACAGGAATACATTTCTTTCTTTCTTCTTTTTTTTAACAATATTTTTATTGAAAAGAACAAGGATGTGTACATATGATGCAAACAATCAAGGCATTTCCCCCCCCCCCCCAACAAAACACTCTATTCACCCTCCACACTGTCAAAACAACCCACCAAAACAATTAAATAATAATAAAAAATAAAATAATGATAATTAGAAATAATGAAAAGAAAAAAAAGATAATAATAATAATGATAAATAAAGAGATAAAGGGGAGGTTCCATATTACATATTATCTTAGCCAAACTGGACCATTTAGAGCTGAGTCAAATGTAATGATTGGGATCTTTTCAAAATATAATAACAGTGGGTTCCAGTGGGTATTAAATTTTTTCCAGTTTTAGAACTTGCAGAAGGTCACTAAACCATTGTGAGGCCTTAGATGGATGTGCAGATTTCCACTATAATAAAATCCGTCTTCTTGCAAGAAGAGAAGCAAAAGCAAAGGCATCTTTCTTTTTTTTTTTATGAATTGAGATCCCATCCATTGTGACACCAAAAAAAGCCATATCAAAATTGGGTTGCATGTTCAAGTTAAATGCTTCTGATAAAGTCTTGAATATTACTGACGAACACCTCCTCAATACATTTCTTAAAGCATTATGCATTCATAACACTTTCAATGAATAAGACACGACAGCTGTAATACACATTAACAGCAAAAATCATACGCATCATGAATGCATTATGAAAGTGCACTCAGTGTTCCATGAATGCACTATAAAGGTCCCGTCATTATAAAGTGTTACTGAATACACTAGCCAATAAGCTTGAAATGGTGAGTTCAAGTACAATGGAGACTGCAACACAAAACAGGCAGACAGAAATTTGGAAACTTTATCAGCAGAGTAGTTATTCCACCCTGGTTTGGTGTTGAATGTGTTGCCACTAGATGCAGTCTTATTTTCTGGATGCCCCCTATTTAAAATACATGTATGAAAAAATTGTTGTTGACCTATAACAAAAATTTTTTCTGCAGTAGATACAAAAACTATGAAATAATGTCCATTCAGCATTGTGGTGCTGTAGGTGACCGTTTATTATAAATTTTCCATTACAATATCTAAACATATGTTTCCCAAGAGGTTAGTTACATAATTTTACATACAGAGAGTTTGGATGCATAAGCAGCTTCTGTCCATGTCCTGCAGCTTTATTATATTATCGTTGTCTGAAAAGTTAACAGATGTGTATGAGAACAACGTCCTACGCCAGTCTTCCTCTTTTTCTTTTCTGAATGACACCGAGGTAAAGTCCTCTGTATTTTTTATGCAACTCCAATAACCGCGATCCATTACAGGGCCACACCTAGGACGGGATAACGCTTTTGACCTCGGTATTTTAAAAATCCTGGCCACGGCGCCGTAGAAGACGGCTTTACTTGTCTT